TTCATAACATCCCATAGCTTCTTGTGACCCACACAGTCAGAGGTTTTGCTGTAGTCTATACAGCAGACTGATCTTTTTCTGAAATTATATACTGTATACTGTATAAGTAATTATATATATTCTGTCTTTTCTCATTGTGTCGAATCATGATGAAAATCTAGCCAGGAAGACAGGATTGTGCATACAGATGCCTGAATTCTTTCAGATATTTTGTTAAAGACATTGTTATATGTCATCAAGTTGCTTCTGATTTATGGTGACTCTGTGAGCAATCTCCAAAATGTCGTGTCTTCAGCTGCTGTACTCAGCTCTTGCAGACTCAAAGTTGTGGCTTCTTTTATTGAGTCAATCAATCTCTTATTTGGTCCTTCACTTTTCCTTATTGAGTCAATCCATCTCTTATTTGGTCCTTCACTTTTCCTGTTGCCTTCACTTTTTCCTGGCACTATTGTTCTTTTCTATTGTATCTTGCCTTATGTTAATCATTTTTTGCTTTAAGGGAGATTCAGCCTTGCTTTGATATCGCACCCTCTTGTTCATTTTTCTGGCAGTCCAAGGTATCGGTAAAGGTCTTCTCCAATACTACATTTCAAATGAATAATTTTCCCCCTGTCATATTTCTTCATTGTCCAGTTTTTACATCCATACACAGAAATGTGGAGAGTCATAATTTAGAATACATTATCTTTGTCTTGGTTTCCCGTGAAATATCCTTACTCTTGAGGATCTTTTCTAGTTCTTTCATAGCTGTTTTCTGAGACTCAACCTTCTTCTGATTTGTTGGCTGCAGACTTGATCTGGATTGATGATTATACCAAGGTGTATAAAATTATTAAGAGTTTCAATTTCTTCGTTGTCAACATTGAAGTTACATAATTCTTCTGTAAATGTGATTTTTGCCTTGTTAATATTGAACTGCAATCCTACTTTTACACTATCATTTTTAACCTTTATTAGGAGTCATGTCAGGTAGTTGCTGCATTCTGCAGGGGAACCTTTACCTTTACCTTTAGGAGTCATGTCAGGTAATTGCTGCATTCTGCTAGTAATATATCATCTGCGTATCTTAACTTACTGATATTAATTCAGTCACCAGTTTTCACTCCTCTTTCTGACTCTAACTCAGATATGTATTCTTCATAATGACAGAACAGATAGGGAGATAAAATAGACCTTTATCTGACACCTTTCCCTTGCATAGGAGAAACCATTCTTTGTCCCCATACTCTGATTGGCCAGAGTACAGGTGATGCATTAGGGCAATCAAATTTTGAGATGCATCTATTCCTTTTATAATGATCCATAGCTTTTCTTGGTTCACACAGTCAAAAGTTTTGCTGTAATCTGTAAATCACAGATACGCTTTGGTACACTCCAGTAGCCAACATAAATTTGCAGTAGATCTTGAGTCCCTCTTTTAGGAATCCAGCTTGACTGTCAGGCATTTTTGTTTCATATAAAATAAGAACCTTTATTTCAACACATTAAGAATCACTTTACTTGCATAAGAAATTAATGCAGTGGCCCTATAGTTACAGCACTCTTTGGTGTCTCCTTTCTTGGGGATTGGAATGTATATCAAACTTTTCCAGTCTGTGGGCCGTCATTTTGTCTTAGTATTTGTAGCACATTCTTGTTAAGATTATGATAGATTTGGTCTCTGTAGCTTCAAATACAGTGGTGCTTCGCATAGCGACGATAATCGGTGCAGCAAAAATAGCTGCAAAGCGATTTCATTGCTATGTGATTTAAAAAAGCCCATAGGAATGCATTGAAACCCCTTCAATGTGTTCCTATGGGCTTCAGACTCACCTTTAAATGAAAATCCTCCATACGGTGGCCATTTTCGCTGTCCGGTAAGCGAGGAATCCGTCCCAGAAAACAGCAGGCGGACATTTTTTTACCCAGCGGCCATTTTGGAACCGCCAATCAGCTGTTAAAAAATCATCGCTTTGCAATGATTGGTAAGCGAAACAGGGTGCCGATCATCGCAAAGCTATTTTTGCCCATTTAAAACATCGCAATGCGATCGCAAAAGCGATCATCGCTAAATCTTCATCGCTATGCAATTTCGTCGTTAAACGGTGCACCCGTTAAGCGAGGCACCAATGTTGTTATTTTGGTATCCCACCTACTCCTGGTGATTTATTTTTCCAGGTTATTTGAGAGCAGTTGTTTCTCAAGTTAATCATGAAACACTTCTCATGGATGGGCAGTCAATTTCCTTTTATGGTGTAACTTCTGCTTGTATATGAACAAACAATTCCTTACTAGGCCATGGCAAGAAGAATGATGGTTAGTTTTTCTACTGCTGGGGAAATGTTTCTGCAGTTTTAACCCTCATAAGTAAATTTATCAAACATCAAAATGTCCAGTTAAGTTTGATAAATCCATCAATTCATGATTGGTAAATTCAGGGCTTGTATTTGATAACTGAATGAGAAATCTATTTGATCGGTCAATGTATGCTTAATTTTTTCTCTGAAAACTTTTGTGCATTACTTTTTATAGCCAAAACGTTTCACAGGAAATAGTTGTGTTCAGTGACCTAATCACTGTTGTGTTACTGAACTTGGGGAAAACTGTACAAAAGAAAAGGTAATTTGTTACTAACAGAGATAGCATTCTTCAGGATAGTCTTAGTCCTGTAAAAGGTCATTTAAAATTCCTAGTAGGACAGGTGCCACTGCCTTATACTGAGTTGGTCCATTGGTCCATCCAGTCAGAATATTAGTTATTGTTACTCTTATTGCTTACTGTCAAAAACCTTTGCCTTCCACATGTTTTGGCCTCCATTTCCCACCAGCCCTACCCCGCTGTGATAGATTGGAGGAGTTGTAGACCAAAACACCTGGAAGGCCCAAAGTTCCTTACTCCTAGTCTAGTTGGTCCAGGAGCAGATCTCCAAAATCTCCAGCACAGACCTTTCCCATCGTTTACTTGTCCTTCCCTGCAACGGTCTTCTATGACTTGCAGCAAGGCAGCTGTTTATAAAATATAAGCACATAGCTGGGCATTCTGGTGCCTTTATTACTGCTCTGTTCTCCAAAAAAAGTTCAATTTCCTTAAAACAATATAAGGACTTATCTGATCAGAACAGGTAAACTCAGGCCCAATTGAACCTGCTTTCTTCCTTCCTTTTCTGCTTTGATAGACTACCATTTCAGTCGAGAGATGGGAATAATATTACTTCTATATGAAATAAAAACGAATGTATACAGAAAACAAACCCACCACAGGAAAAGGTTAAGCATAGTTGTTTTCTTCATATATTACTTTATTGCATTTTTTAAAAGTGGGAAGTATTAAAAATCACAAATCCTTCCCACATGTGGTCTGAAGTAGAGTCCAGACACAATTCATCCTTTCTAGTTTTGGTTCTCATGAGCAGCAGATGAGATGGGAACTCACGTGCCATCATTAAACTGCAGACAGAAACTTGGATGGCTGATTTTTTTTTAAAAAAACCTGTCTACAGAAAGATCCAGAGGTGGGGTGAAAGGGTTCTAGCCTTCTTCCAGATGCTCCTTCCTGTTTAGGAACATTTTCCCCTGAAGGGAGCATTCCATCATATCAGGATTCACACAGAGAATTAGATTTAGTTGAGACCAGTGGCATAGTGATAAACTGGGAAGTGTAGGTGCCCATTATGACAATCCCAATAGTCTCTGCCTTCAATAAGGAGAGTCCAAAAATTGAGGTATTTGGATTGGTCCAAGTCAACAAATGAGAAACATGTCTTTTGTAAAGTTAATGGCTCTTAATTGCCCATCCAAGACCAAACCACTCAGCAGCTGCGCAGGGAAAATCCTGGTCCTGCCTCCTTGTCTGAGTGATTGGCTGCCAGAGAAGGCAGGGCAGGGAAGCCTGAGCTCCTTCTTGGACTGAGCAGCCAGCCATGGAGGACGACCCAGGTGGCACACAAAGACTTGTGAGTGGGGCAGCCGACTGGGAGATGGAGGGAGGGAACGTGTGGTGGGAGATCTTCGTATGAAGAGTCACGACTTAATTTGTATCCATCTCTACTGCTAATCATTGCCTTTGCTAATCAGAAAGTCCTGGGGCTTTGACCCTGCAAGCTCTGACTCCATTACACCACTGACAGAGGCGCAGCTAATGATTTTTTAGCATGCAGCTAAGCAAGGCGGTAGAAATTCAGGTCCTCCACAGTCCTTGAAACCTGATAATGACTTCAGGTTTCTTCTGTTTTTAGGTACAATTTCGTCCAGTTCTGGTTGTCAGGGAGGCAGATCTTGCCATGCAATGTGGGAAAGCAAAAGTATTTCTCTGGAGATTTAATATGTCTGTAAACTGCAAGCATATATAGTACAGTGCTTCTGTAGAAGCATCTATGAAGTCTACAGTTTCTTCTGCTTATAGTCACAGAGATCAAGTGCATTTGTGTGTGATACTACTAAGAAATGATAAGGGGTGTGGTGAAACAGTAGACTTTGTGTTTTTGGAAAAGGGAGGAAAATGGTGGGGAAAGCTAAGGACCTCAGAGGTGGCATTGTACATTTTTCAAGCATGGGTTGTTGAAGTTTGCAGACAATTACCATTTTTGCTGTTTTTGATACACTTATGTCTACTTATCATTTCTGGTTGTATAGCACAAGTCAGACAGATTGCCTAGCTTTAGATTAGATTCTGCATAGTTTTAAATTGTCCTACTTAGAAGCATGTTTTCTTATTCATTCAGAAGATTACTCTGAACTCTGTTGGAGTTTGTTGGTGATGTCTTAGAAGAAATAGTTAAAGACACAATCTGGTCTTAGGAGGTTTCTTTTAAGACAGAAAATAGATACTCCCTTGGTTCTAATGTTTTCACAAAATTATAGAAGTAGGGGAATGTATTCAATGCTAACAATAGTATAAATGAAATGCAATCATTTGTTCCCCCATTACCAAACCAATGTTGCTTTCCAAATTACCTGATACTTACAGTTTTGCTATATTTTACTATAGTCCTATTAATACTTTTTATTTTTTTCTCTCTTTAGGTTCTTTCTCACAACCTGTGCACATTGTTGAATGTTCCACATGATCCAGTGGCCCTAGAGGAGCATTTTAGGGATGATGATGAAGGACCTGTTTCCAATCAGGGCTATATGCCTTATTTAAACAGATTCATCTTGGAAAAAGTGAGTGTGCAGCCAGAGTGTGCATCCTGGGAGAACTCAGATGAGGCCCAGGCCATCTGTGCTGTGAAGGTCCTCACTTTTTGGGAAGAGGGTAAAAATATTTTAACATAAAGAATGGCATCTAAAACAAAGTGGGAGGACCCATACATCCTTGGTGGAAATCAGTCCTGAGTAGAGAATGTGAATAGTTGTATTCGTATACGAATATCCCCGCACAGGTGGCATTAAAGAGGGTTCAGCTGCGGATGACGCGATTCTACGAATGGCTCCGAAGTGCGCGATCTGCTCGCCACTCCTAGCAGGAGGCGGGAGGACAAGCCATGCTGCAAGGTTGAAGAGTGGCGAGCGGATCGTGTGCTGCGGAGCCATTTGTAGAATTGCTGTGTCTGTGGCGGATTGGTGAGTGGACTGTCCGGCCCCATGAGTGGACCGTCCAACCCTTGTTAACGCCAGCTGTGCGGGGATATTCTTACAGTATATGAATACGAGTACCCCCAGCTCTTGTCCTGAGTGCTGCCTCACTCCTGGGCCAGTTCTGTGTACAACTTGGTACCATGTCTACATGTGGACTCAGAGTTCTATCTTTTACTTTTGGATTGCAAATATTTTGTTGCTACCAAGCAGCAAGAACTATAAACACACCAGGCAAAAGGCAGCTCTAATAGTTGAATGTAATCTTTGAAAGAAAACTTAATATATACAGTGGTGGCCCGTATAGCGACATTAATCCGTTCCAGGATTAACGTCGCTATACGGAAACATCGTAAAGTGAAATTAAAAAGCCCATTGAAACGCATTAAAACCTGGTTATTGCGTTCCAATGGACTAAAAACTGGCAGGGACAGGGTGGGTGGGGGATCCCGAAGGCTTCCAGGCAAAAGCCTGGAAGCCTTCGG